ATATTTAAAATTATTTTGCCTGCCAGTATGCGCACACATATTGTTTACATTTTGCTTTATATGTCACATGAAATTGGTCTATATATATATATATATATATATATATATATATATATATATATATATATATATATATATATATATATATATATATATATATATATATATATATATATATATATATATATATATATATATATATATATATATACACCAATAAAAACTGTTTACATCTTCAGTTCAAAATATAAATTTCTCGTTTGATAGCTATCACTGTGGGGTTAAGCGTACCAAAAAACCTTGTCTTTTAATCATATGAATATCATCTTTATGCTGCAATAGAATAATCTTATCTTCAATTAGGTGATATGAAATACTATGTATACCACTGATGATAAAACCTAACACTAAATGTTAGAAATGCTGAAAATAAAGTTTTAAAGTTTTTTATAAACATTATAATAAACCACAGTTATCCACAAAGTGCTAGATAACAGCAATTTGGTAACTTTTTTAATTCTAAACTTTAATGCCCATGCTCCCACACAGTGGTTTGGACAGGTATATACATTTAATGTCCATGTTCCCACACATTGATTTAGACAGCTATTTACATTTAATGCCCATGTTTACACATTGATTTAGACTGGTATCAACATAAAATACCTATTTTTCCACACAGTGACTTGGATTTTTTACACCTAATGCCCATGCTTCCATACAGTTATTTGAATTTTCTACATTTAATCCCCATGTTCCCACACAGTGATTTGGATTTTCTACATTTAATGCCCATGTTCCCACACAGTGAATTGGATTTTCTACATTTCATGCCCATATGTCCCACACAGTAATTTGGATTTTTTACATTTAATGCCCATGTTCCCACACAGTGATTTGGATTTTTTACATTTAATGCCCATATTTCCCACACAAAGATTTGGATTTTTTACATTAAATGCCCATGTTCCCACACAATAATTTAGATTTTCTACATTTACATTTAACATTATAGGAGAGTTAAAGCAATTTTTTACAACCAGGTGCTTTACAGACAATAATCTGTTTTCTTGACATTAACATGTTTTGCAGATAAGAAGTATATTCATTGTTATACTATAAATAAGCTCCTACCCTTAAATACCACCTACCCTCACAAACTTATCCTACTTTTAAATAATCTTTTTATCTTTAAATACAACTAACTTGAGGGCATTATATCAGAGTTTTCCTTTCTGTAAATAAATCTTTCTTATAAATAAAAAGCTAAATTAAAAAAAAGCTTAATCTGCTCCATAACTCTCTCTAATAAATTAGCAAAAAAAGTTTTAAGTTATATGATTTTTCTTTGTGAAAAACAGTTTTTTATAAAGAATTATCAGTAACAGGTATTGATGCCAAATTTCAATAAATCGAATGATCCAAAACAATTAATGAATTAAAAATGGTAGTTGAAAAAAATTTTAAGTAAATAAAAATAGTTAATCAAAATTTTTTTAAATGTTTAATCTTTGCAACACTTGGTTCACTATTGATATTATTGATTAATTATTGATAATTTTTTTTTGGAAAGTTACATTTTTTAAAAACTTTTAGTGTTTTTAGCACCATAAAAATATGAGTTTTACATAAGTTAGTTTTTTTTTTTTAATTTTGTTCTTGTATACTTATTATATTCAGCCTTCATAAAAAATTACTGAAAAGTGTAAATATTTTTTCAAGTTTTTTATTAATTTTTAAATGAAAGTTTTATTTATTTAATCTTTTGTAAATTTTGTAAATACTATTAAAAACACTCATTTGTTAAGAACAAAAAAAAACTTGCCTACAGTTTTTAAGACCCTTATGTTTACTTAGTCGGTCTGTTAGGCAGATCATGACAAAAAAAAAAATCAAGTTGCACAAAATAGTTCAATATTTCTAAAACATTAACTACAAAATATTAACTACATTTTAATAATGCAGTTTTTCATAATTAAAATAAAATTATGCTTAATTTAAAAATTCCAGATAATGAAAAGAGATATTTCAAAACCTTTCAATTGATTGAATATTGAGAAAAGTAATTAATTGATATATAAAATATAAATAATTTTTTATATGATTTACATTAAAATAAAAACATTTTTAAAAAACATAAATGATAAAATATAATAAATAAATATAAAATTATAATATAAATATATAAAATAAACATATCAAAATGAACATAAATAAAATAAATAATAGTAAAAATATAAAATAAATATATTAAAATATAATAAAGTCTTGTTTTCCGGCCTGAGGGAAAATGGCATCTGTTGTTCCAATTTTCAAAAATTCTGATAAACATTCTGACCCCTCTAACTATTACCTTTTCTGTTATTAGCATAGTCTTTGATCAACAAATTTCTCACATCCCATTTTGAGTCAAATAACTTACTTTCAGAGAATCAATATGGTTTTTGATCCTCTTGCTCTACGGCTGACTTGGTAACTGCTGTAACTGAAAGGTTTTATTGTGCATTAGGTGGAGGCGGAGAGGCTAGGGTTATTGCTCTTTACATATCTTTCAACAAAGTTTGACATGCTGGTCTTCTCCATAAGTTTTTTTCATATGGTGTATCTGGGAAATTTTTTGAAATTATCAAATCGTTTCTTTCTAACCACTTTATTAAAGCCACAATTGAAAACCAACACTCTTCTTTATTTCCAGTAACTTCTGGGGTACCTCAAGATTCTATCCTTGGTCCTGTTTTATTTCTTATCTACATTAATGATCTTTCTGACAACCTTACATCTAAATTAGCTCTTTTTGCTGATGACTCAACTTTATACTCGTGACTTGACAAAAAGTCTTCTCTTTTCGATCGTTTAGAACAGGCAGCTGATCTTGAATCTGATCTCACTTTTGTAACAGATTAGGGCTCGCAGTGGCTTGTAAATATTATCTCCAACAAAACTCAGTTATTTACTGCAAACAACTATCACAGTACTGCCAACATTCCTATATAATAATGAACAGCAACCCTCTCACTGAGTCCTCTTATTTACGTCTTCTTAGATTATCATTTACTACTTACCCTCATGGAAACATATATACAATCGATTGCTAAATTAACATCTGCTAAGATGCTCCAATTTATCTTGCTTGCCATTTTCTCTCTCCTGATTCTGTTCTCTATCTCTGCAAATCTTTTATTCATCCCTGTATGGGATACTGTTGTACTGTTGGTTCTTCTAATGATACTCTTTCTCTTCTAGACAAGGTCCAAAAATGCATTGTAAACATAGTTGGACCTCTCTATCTGCTAAGCTTGAGCCTATTTCCCATTGTCATAAAATTGCATCTCTTTCTCTTTTCTACAAGTACTATTGTGGTCGCTCCTCAAAGGAGCTATCATCTCTAGTTCCATCAGTTAAAACTCATTCTTGTTTGAATCATCATTCAGCAGTCTCATTCTTTTATTGTATCTCTCCCTGTATGCTTTAAAAACTTTTTTTTGCCCCGCACCTTAACTCTTTGGAACTCTCTCCAACATCCATGTTTTCCTGACTCATGCAACCTTTAACTTTTTAAGTCTTCTGTCAATCGTTTCCTTGCTCTATAACTTTTTTTTTCTATCAAATCCCAACTTAATAGTGGTTGCTTGCAGCCTTGTTGGGAGTAAATCAGAATTAAAAAAAAACAACATATCAAAATACATGATATGAAAATATCAATAAATACTAATAAGCTCATATTTAGCATATATTCAATCATTTTTTGTGATTGGTAAAAAATTCAGATAGTGTATTGCAGCATAAAAATCAGCCATTGATAAAAAAAAGTTTTATGCTTAACAAAAAAGTGATAGTTAACAAAAAAATCATTTCTTATTTTTAAAATAAACGCCAAAGTTGTTTAATGTATTACCAGATTAAAGATGTAAACAGTTTTTATTGGCATTTGATACTATTGATGTTTTATAGAATGACAAACTAAGATCAGCTAAGAAAAACTAAGCGCTCGCCTCATAAGCAAGAAGTTTGTTCCCCAAGTACAGTGGTAGTACAGTGCTCAACTAGTTTTTCTGCACAGCGCCCTTGTTTGTCAAGGTTAATGTTTCGGAGTTATAGAGTTGAAAGAGGGTTGTAACTACAACTAAAGTAGCCTCCTTGACTGTAGGGGCCATCATGGCCTTGGGGAGGTGAAAAACACAACTAAAAATATCAAACATAACTACAAAGATAAACCAAAAAAAAGTTCAAAACTTCAAATTAAGACCAACCAACTGCACTTGAAATAATTTTAAAAAATCAGCCAGTTAAAAAAAAAAATAATTATAAATTGACCAATTAAAGATTGACCAATTACACTATACAAATAAAAAAGATGTTGCAAAAGAAAGGACATAAGAAAAAAGTAAAAGTTGAGGTTGATTTAAGATTCTCAACAGATTTTTTTATCAAAGAGCAAATTATAGGCAAATTGATATAGATACCTTTTATTTCTACAGGTGTTAACATTTCTTGCATTTTTTGGCACAATAGAACTAATGACCTATGATTGAATACAGATGGCCACGCAATTCACTCAATTTAAACCCCATCGAAGACTGTTGAGTAAAATTCAAAGCAGCAGCAGTTTCTAAACAAAACCAAACCTTATCAGCTGAGAAAACCCATAGTGAAAGCGTAGTACCATAAAACAATGCTTATATTATAAAATATTGCAAGTCTCTTGTTACCACAATGCTGCAAAAAATAGAGACTTTTCTAAAAGTTTGAGGAACTTGTACAAAGTATATAGTTAAAGGGATTTCTATAACAATAACTGTTTTTTTTAAAGTTTATGGATTAAATGGTTTTATAGCTAAAGATTTATTTGTTCATTTGTTTTGTTGTTCTTTATTCTTTTAAAAACCCATATAAAAACTTTATTTATACAGTTTACTATAAAAATTCACATTACTTAAACCTAAGATCACAATCATCTCAATCAAAAAAAAGAAAAAAAATATTAACAAAATGATTTTTACCTAAAGAAAAAATGGCCAAAGGGATTTTTCTCAAGTCATTTGTTTTGATAACAAAATTCAAATAACCAAATCTTCTTAAAAGATTGTGATTGAAATGCAGACACCGATCATACAAATAAGTAAATGCCCACATTGCCACATTCATAGCAGTGAAGAGAGCAAACGGTTCATCAATACCTCCAAGTAGCTTCACATGTAAAACATCTTTTAGGATAAACGATAAAGATTCAAAACTAATCTTAAAATAAAAAAATGTTTTCAAAAACATAAATAATTACAAAAGTTTTTTACTGACACTTACATACTCTTACACTCACACAAACATATATACACTAGCAGTTACTTTTAAAATTATAACTTGCATAGGGTTTAAAATTACAGCTTGTCAAATTGTAATTTTAAACATTAACTGAACTGGTGTTTAGTTAAGGTTTTGCAAAATCTGTTTTATTATTTACATTTTATCATATATATTTATTATATATTATACAATATTATATAGCATATATAGTTCAGCAAAAAAAAAAAGAAAAAAAAAAGGAGATTAATGAAAGAAAAATTGCTGTTTCAGCCCAAACCCAAATAAAGAAAGGAACCTTAGCGGATGCTAATTTAGCAATCAATTGTACATATGGTCTCCATAAAAGTTCAGTAGTAATTGAAAATCCAAGAAGACGTAATTAAGTGGACTCAATGAGGGGTTTGCCATTCATTAATATAGGAATGTTAACAGTATTGTGGTAATTAGAGATCATCTAGGTCACATTAAAAAAATCCAGAAAAAATTTGGAAATTTTTTCCCTCGTATTTGTCTTGATTTAAATTTAAACTATTGGCTTTCTCAATTTTTTTGAAACTTTTTTTTTTATTGCATGGGTAATGACTTAAAATGTTGAAAAACATATATATTGCAAAAATATTTATTTAAATTTGTGTTTACAGAAGAATTTTTTGAAAATCCGGAAAAACTAAAAGTTTAAAGAAATATCTGAAATTTTGTATATATTTGGAAAAAAATAACCGCTGGACATTTGTTTGCATTAACTGAGTTTTGTTGGAGTTAAAATTTACAAGCCACAGTAAGCCCCAATCTGTTACAGAAGTGATATCAGATTCAAGATTGGCTGCCTGTTTTAAGTGATCGAAAAAAGAATGCTTTTTGTGAAGACAGAAGTATAAAGTTGAGTCATCAGCAAAAAGAGCTACTTTAGATGAAAGGAAGATAAGTATATGAAAGATGAAATATAGATGTAGATATAAAACAAAACAGGACCAAAGATAGAACCTGAGGTACCCCAGATGTTACTGGAAATAAAGAAGAGTGTTGGCCTTTGAGGATGACTATAATGAAGTAATGAAGTGGTTAGAAAGAAACAATTTGATAATGTCAAAAACTTTTTCAGAAACACTATATAAAACAAGCTTATGGAGAAGACCAGCATGCCAAAACTTTGTCAAAAGACTTAAAGATACTCCATTATGGAGAAGACCAGCATGCCAAAACTTTGTCAAAAGACTTAGAGATACTCCATGAGATAAGATGCGAGATTTATTAAACTGAGAATAATGGAGCTTAGATAACACCTTTTTACATTGATTTTTTACAATAATAAATAGCCATTTGCTCTCAAGAGAGTTGTTCTTTTAAAAAAGATGAAAAAATGATTAAGCTTAGAATAATAGCTGCACAAGACGGTTAAAAACATGGAGTAGAATGAGGCTTAACTTGTAACCGACAAGAAGGAATAAAAGCTTCCATTCCTGCCTAAATCTAGGAGGTTATGTAGGAGGTGCATTTTTCACTAGTTAACAGAGTTAACTGAGAAAGAGATTGAGATATGCAGAAGTTATAGACATTAGTGCCAGCAGGGTCAGTGGTGTTAGAGCCGAGCCATTCAGTGTGATGAGCATTAAAGTCACCAATAATAACAATATTGGCAGAGGGGTAAAGAGAGAGGGCATGGTCAATTTGATCAGAAATTACATCTAAAAGTAAAGTTTTGGGAAGAAAGAAAAACGATAAAGAAAAATGAAAAAGGTAATTAAAGGTGAGTAAAGAGGAGCTAAGCAAAAGTACATAAAAAAAATGGTCAATGGATTTTAACCTGATTTCACGATAATAGTTTAATTGATGCGTATGTATACCCCAAGCCAAGCATGTGATTATTTGAGTCTTTGCAAATTTAAGGATAGTAGACATCAACACTAAGTTTTGAAAGAATAGCAGAATTTAAATTGGTCTCACTTAGAGTGAGCATGTCTGGTGAACTTTGCAAGAGGTAAGATTTAACTGATAAAAGGTTGCTTCACAGACCTGTGATTTGGAAAAATTTTTATATTGAATAATATTAGGAAAAGATATAATAAAACAGTTAGGTGGTGGGGATGGTTTTTTATGTTTAATGTTTTGGATTACATTTGGCATGATTTAAGTTTAAAGAAAACTTGACTCTTTCATAGATAGAACATGGTCTTTTAAGCAATGAGCTATGCAACAGTCTCAGTCTTGTTAATTAACTTTAAGTCGTAACATAGGGCTACTTATGAGGCATCGACAATGAGCATTAAAAGAATTAACAGAGATAGCATCCATACACAACATGGAATCACCTTCTCTGAGAGCTACAATAGAGTGAGGGAAATTATACTACCAGCCAGCCTCAGAACCAGTTTTAGAGCTGTACCTTTATTAGGAGATAACAGGAAGAGTTGCATAGCCATTATCAAGGAGGCACAATCAAAAATTTATGAGTAGAGTCATAAAGATCCAGCATTTATCATCCTAGGCAGAAAATAGTGTAACACAAGTTTACATCTACGCCAGCCTAATAGATGAAGAAGCGGTTTGAGGCTTGTTGGCAGAACTTTTCTGCTTACCCCTAAAGTGTTTCCCTAGGAAGTCTCTTATGAAATTTAGCTGGATGCAGTTAAAATCTGCCCAAGATGAGTATTTTTATAGAGACATCATCTCTAGTCTTTACTCAACCAAGGCAGGGAATTTTCAAGTCAGAGTTTGTTTCTCCTAGCCTTTGCTTGAAAAAAGCACACCATACAAGGCAGCAGGGCATGGGGCAGGTAGTACTGGGTTACATGATACCAGTAGCAAGGTGATCATGATGATCCTAAACCTGACCTGATCTGAAATAATAAAAAGAGCTACTTCCTGCAAACAGAACTTTAAAACATTAGGCATGATTTTTTGGAAATTCATAAGAAAAAATATTACATTTAACAAAATAATAAAGATAAAGGTGAACATAGATTTATTGTTGGAGAAACTAGTTAGTTATTTATTGGAAAAGTGTGTTATTTTATCTAATGAAAATTTGTCAGATTTCACCAGAACAATTTTTTTTTTTTTTAAATTTGCATTCACTCCCAACAAGGCTGCAAGCAACCACTATTAAGTTGGGAGTTACTAGGAAAAAAAAGAACTGAGTTATAGAGCAAGGAAACGGTTGACAGAAGACTTGAAAAGTTGAAGGTTGTATGAGTCAGGAAAACATGAAGATGGGAGAGAGTTCCAAAGGATTGAAGTGCGGGGAAAAAAACTAGATGAATAAAAGTTTTTAGAGCATGCAGGGACAGATACAGTAAACGAATGAGACTTAGCTGAATGACGAGTAAAACGAGAATGAATTTTAGTTGATGGAACTAGAGATGATAACTCCTTTGAGCAGTGACCATGATAGTATTTGTAGAAAAGAGAAAGAGATGCAACTTTACGACGATAGGAAAAGGCTTAAGCTTAGCAGATAGTCCAGGTCCAACAACATTTACAATGCGTTTTTGGACCTTGTCAAGAAGAGAAAGTGAATCGTTAGAAGAACCAGCCCAAATATGACAACAGTATTCCATACAAGGACGAATAAGAGATTTGTAGAGGTAGAGAATGGGATCAGAAGTAAAGAATTGGCGAGCACGATAAAGAGAAGCAACCTTAGCAGAAGCTAATTTAGCAATCTATTGTATATATGATTTCCATGAAAGGTCAGTAGTAAGCGATATGTTCTATAGTGATGTTAAGCAATTGTAATTATACGTGTAGAGATAAAATTATATTCATAGATTAACGTGTTGAAAACCTTGTTTAATGATGATTGTAATTAAAAGTATTGTCATTGAGCTTTTTAAATTTGTATATATAGAAAAGATTTTGTTTATGAAAGAAAGATGAAAAAAATAGTTGTTTTGTTTTTTAAGCATATGGACGCGACAATGCAACAAGCTATTTCAGCAGTTATGCCAGTGATTCATGTTGAATCCACACATGGCTTTTTTAAAAAAGTCAAAAGCTCATCACAACTTAGGGAAGAACTGCGCAAGTACTAGATGAAATGATATTCAAATTGGAAATTTATGTAATACACTGAATGGCTGATTATTTAATTGTAAAAGAAAAACCATTTAAATTTGATTTGATTTGATGGCATCACGGAACCGCAATAAAAAGCCTGCAACTAATAATACCATTTGTAAAGAGATAGAAAACAAAGGCAAAAAGGTACGCCCAGTGGGAGACTACCCAGCTCTCAATAAATTTGAAAATTGTCACAGCTTTTCAGCCAATTAAGTAAACTAATTGGACACTACCCCATTAAATATTGCATAAAAACTTGAGGAATTTTTCAATTGTTAGTACAAAGGCAATTGTTAGTACAAATACTTTTAAGGAATTAGCAAAAGATATTCAGATTGTAGTACAATGGATTCCATCTAAAATAAATTTGATTAAATTTCAAAAATCAGTGTGTGCATCTGGTTTACTTGATCAGAAAGACATATGGAAAATCCATTTAATTGGTTATTTCAGTGTCACTCGTACATTACAACTTTGTTTGCAAAATAACCAGAATGTATCACGTAAGGAGGTCTCAGCAGCAATAGCAAATTATAACTAGTGCAACTCCATTAACCCCTACTTAATAAAATGAAAGCATGATCAATTAAGGGTAGAACAGAATTGGAATCAGGTTGCAATTGATGTAACACATGTAGGGGCAGAACTGTATTTATTGATGATTAACTGTGGTCGGTTACAGTATACAATATGGTGTAAACTGGTAATCAAAACAGCTACTAAAGTTGTTGGAAAGCTCAAAGAAGTATTCTCTTTATTTGGACTGCCAGTTTGTTATAAAATGGACAACAAATTTTGGTCCAAAACGCTAACAAGTTTTGCTGAAGAATGATATTTTAGTTTGGGATACCAAGCACCCTATCCAGCTCAAGGCAATGGTATAGTTAAATGCATACACAAAAAAATAAAAAGAACAGTCACCCGCTCCTTGTTTGATTGCTCTGGCAATCTTGCTGTACAATGACACAATATCAACAATCAGAGAAAACCAACTTAGTTTATCCCAGCCGCTGACACATGGAGGAACACAGAAGAGAAAGACAAAAATAAGAAATTTGAAGAGTATGATAATGTTTGGGTAAAACTAACTCAAAACATAAAATGTGACCAGCCGTGGATACCATGTGTAGTATGGAAGCTATCTTGTTGTTGATGTCAAAATTGCAAATCAGTATACCTACGTCACATTTCACACCTGCATCACCATACTCCAGACTTTCTGAATTGCAATGAATCATTAGATGATGTTTTTTTAGACCAAAAGATAAAAATGATAAAGCTTAAGATATAACAATGATGTTGTTCAAGTTTAAAATAATTCTTAAGAACATAACAAACTGCAAGTAAAGCTCTCCAGATGAACAGTAAGGCCCCCATTAAGATTAGATTTTGAGAGTTTATTTACTATAAGGGCATGTTTTATTGTAAAACTGTTGAATTGTAATTATTTGTTAGAGATCACATAGATAAATGTGTTAAAAATCATGCATCATTTTATGATGAATGTTCAACATTTGTTTAATGACATTGTAATTATAAGTATTGACATATGCTGGTGTAGATTTTTTGTAAGAAAGGAGGATAATAAAAAGAAACTCTAAAATAGCTATTTTGTTTTTTTAAGCATATGGATGTGACAATGCAACTCAATGATGGCAATAGGCGGAAACGCAACACAATAATGGCATAGAAAAATGATTTTTTCTTGCCCAAAACCAAAAAAACTTTAAATGGAAAACCAACATTTCTGACATTGAATTTAGCAACCTTTATTTTTTTCTTAATTAGGCCACAGCCTTGGCTTCTTTTTGATTTGGAAAAAAATGCCGACCTCATTTCTATGTTTTACAGTGAAATCTTTGTAGTAAAGCTTTTTTGCTGACCTGATGCCGACCTCTAACAGGTTAAGGTTGGCAAATTATAACCGACCTCATTTTTCCAATTCCGAAGGCTAAGACAATTAAAAATGGCTCTTGATAAATCCACAAGACTGGACATTCTCTCAAGATTATCGAACTGCAAAAGGTTATACAATTGAAGGTAAAAAATAATTGCACTGAAAGATGAATCAAGCTTTTTGGCGATTTCCTTGAGTGTGCGCAAAATGAAGAGTAACATCAATTATTTTTTCCAAGTTGTTGAACAACAAACCAAATTCATTTTTATTTTATGTAATTTATTTTAAAATCCAAACAAGTTACTTTATAGTAATAGACTTATAGTAAAAACTAATTTTTCTAAAAAATTGTTCTTTTGATAATGTTAAATATATACACCAAGTAACATAACATAAAGTTATTTATTTTATAAATTATTTAAATTTATCCTGAATTGACATTGCTATTCAATAATGTCAACTTTTGTGGTTTCAAACAACTAGAGCTATTGATATCTAGCTGCTTTCAAACAACTTTAAAGTTGTTTTTTTAGTCACCACATTTTCTTATCATAGAACTTTATTGATTTATTTAACTTTATTAATAATATTGCAGACAACAGTTTTTCTAAACTGAAATCTTCCAAAAATTTATTATTTTTTCAAATTTAATAAATCTTTGAATCGTTGCCAGGATTAAATTACAACAAGTTTTTAAATCTAAAATGACTCCTAGCTTATTTTTAGAATAACATTTAAAAGTATTCATATATAAGGAGATTTTTAAAGTTATAACTATTTTTCAAACATTAACCATATGAAGCTCAGCATCAGAAGCTTGGTTGCTGATTTTATTTTCTATATCCTCATCATTATCAAAAGTATCATAACCTTATTACAGACCCGTGAATTAGAGATTAAATGTTAGACTTATAAGTAAGTCTAACATTTAATCTCTAATTCATGGGTCTGATCTTTTTACTTCTCCCCAGAATAAAGAGTTATTTGCAAAGAAATCTTACTCTAATTTGACTATTGAATATAATAGCCATACTCTTCCTGCCAGTTAAACAGATTAACTCATTGTTAAACATTCAAATCACTCTGGCATCCAATGCCAAAGTTAATTTTTAATTACAAACTTCTACAGTTTGTGCTCCAGACAAGATTTCCATCTTAAAAAAGTGTTCTCCAGAACTCTCTTCATTTTTTGCTAAATTTTTAAAAAGTGCTAAATAAATAGTTCCAATTTTTCAAAACTCTAGATAACACTTTGACCTCTTTAACTATTCTATGAATAGACTTCACTCAGGTTCTATCCTTGCTCCTGTATTGTTTCTTAGCTACATTATCGATCTTCATGAAAATTTTACATCTTAAGTGGCTCTATTTTTGATTGCTTAGAACAATTAGCCAATTTTTATTCTGATCTCTCTTTTGTAACAGCCAAAGGCTTGAACTGGTTTTTAGATTTGAATGCTGAACTTAAAATTCACAATTTTTGTTAGACAAAACTCATTTATTTACTGGAAAAAAAATTGAAATAATGTTGGCATTCCAATATTAATAAAAAACAACCCTTTTAATCTTAGAAAAAGTCTAAAAGCACATTGTAAATAAACCTGCTTTATCTGCCAAGCTTAAGCCACTCTCCCTTTGTTGTAAGGTTGCATTTTTTTCTTTTTTCTACAAATACTATTATGGTCAATACTCAAATCAGCTATCTCTATAAGGATAAACCAAAATTCATTCTTATTTGGCTTCTTATTCAAACAGTTGCATCCTTTTATTGTATCTATCCCTTCATGCTATAAAAACTTTTATTAATCTGGTTTTTTTCCTTGCAAATCAAAAAAACCTTATAACTCTTACCTATTTTCATGTTTTCCTTTTTTATACAACCTACAACTTTTTAAGTCTTCAGTTATATGTTTCCTATTATTTTAACTTATTCTCTATTTAAAGTAACTCATAACTTAATAGTGGTTGCTTGCAACTTTGATAGAAGTAAATGAGTTTAAAAATATATCAATATATGCAAGTATTTAATAAATAGTAAATGTCAGCATAAAATTATAATATAAATTATAAAATTTTTTCTAGACCCAGCTATCAACCCCTAAATCTATCTCATCCTAAATCCCTAAATCTATCAGCTATCAACCCTTAAATCTTATTATATTGCAGGGACCTGGGCTGGAGCCCGTTTTGCAAATAGTCTCATTTTCAACTAGGGAGGGGGCTGGAGAAGGGCCCCCTGTCACTTACTATACAAAACATCAAATGTCTTATTGTGAATGACAATATGAAAAATAAAGAAAAATAATTTTTTATTTAGATATTTTTTAACATATCTTTTTTTTAAATATCTTTTTTTTTTAAATTTTTAATTTTTAATTTAAATAAAAATTTAAATAAAAATAATTTAATTAAAAAAAAAATAATTTAAATAAAAAATTTTTAAATATCTTTTTTTAAAAGTTAATTTTATGTTTTTATTTTTATTTTTTTATTTTTAAATATTATTTAGATACTAAATTAAAATCATAATGTTTTATAAAGTCAAACTCTTTTTTCTAAACAAAGTCAATTTGTATTTCAATACAAATTTATTTTCTAAAGAAGAAGAGCGCTACAATAAGAAATGAAATATAAGCAAGGTAATATCAGGAATGGGTTCAAACAAAAATATTTAAACATATGATAACAATAAACTATGATAACAATAGAAATATTTTATAAATATATTTCAAAATTTTTTTATATATAATGTCTATATAAACTTTTTGTAAAGAGAATATAAAAAAGGTAAAATACCAATAGAAGAATATATAGAACAACCAGCCAACCACAGGGTAGTTTTTTTACCAGATCTTTTGAGGAATATAATGAAACATGAACAGGGAGAAGATTTTGTGTTGAGTCATTTGCAATGGATTGATCATCTATTGGATCACCAAAAGTACTCTAAAATAATTTTAAACTTTTTATGTAGAAATGAACAAATCAAAAATTAAAAAATTTTAAATAAAAAATACATAATTTGATAAATGATAACTTAAATGATACAACAGTGTTTGGTATTTTTTACTAATTTTCAAATTAAAACTCAACAACATGCAAACACACACTTACACACACTCACACACACACACGGTTGCACATCTTATATGACCACACATTTTGTTTTGATAACTTGACTACAACTCTTGGCATGTGTTAAGTTAGCTCGTTTAAAAGATGTGCTGAATAAACAAATGTAAACTAAAATTAAAAATAAACAAACTATAAACTGGAAAGAGAAATAAAAACTAAAAAAAAATATATATAAAATAAAAATCTTAACCAGAAAAAATAAAAGAATAAAATGTTTTTAATTTAAAAGTGTTTCACTGCTAAGAATTTAGAAAAAATCTTCAAAGTTTTTTTATTCAAGCTTAATTACTTCGAAACTTAATTATTTAAAAATTTGAAACTTTGATATTTTCTAATGTCAACAAAACAAATAAAACATTAAAAAAAAATTATCTGTTAATAGGATTTGAAAACATAAAAAATTAATAGAGAAATTGAAAACATAAAAAAAAAAACAATTTGTTAGTAGGATTTGAACCCTCATCCAATGCCTATATATTAGTCGCGCCTTATAAATGACACAATTAATTAACCTAAGTGCTACATCAACATGGCAAAATAGAAAAAATTATTACCTTAAAACTATTAATTAAAATGCTTTTAAATTAAATTCATTAAGTTTGAACAATTGAAATGCTTCTAAATTAAAAAATTTATTAGTTTTATGCTTTTATTTTCTTTCTTTCGTTTCACTTTATGGTTTGTTTATTTTGAACTAGTTTGGTTTTTTAGACACATTTTTTAAAATACCCAAATAATCTATATATACAAAAAACTGTGACCAAGTTGTCAAAAAAAATATTTTATCATGGTCATAAACTGTACACCTCTCCTGAGAAAGCTTGCATAATATAATATAATTTATGCCCTGCAAAAATTATTTTAATAAACAAATCTACAAGGTTCATTTAACAGTAAATAAACATTTATAAAACCATTAAAATTTATGGAAATAAATATTAAGTAATAAAAAATAATAAATAATCCAAAGTCCTTTTAAAATGATACTTTACCAACAATGTTATCATGATAATTATTTTAAAATGTATAATAAAAAAGTAACATAATATTGTTACAAAGGTAATAAACCATTCAAGCATAAAACAATAAATATTAAACTAATAAGATGAAACGGTTGGATTAAATGAAGCGTAAACCACCTAAACATTAACTTTTTTAAACTCCAAAAAGGATATAAAAAGGTGAAGAATGAGCTCAGAGAGGAGAGTGATGGAAGTAGTATGGAGAGCGATAGAGAGCTATGGAGGTAGTATAGAGGTGGAGACGTAGTATAGAGGTGGAGACGTAAAACAAGAAAAGTGAAAGAAGAAAAGGAAGAGTAAAATATATAGATATTTATAATATATTTATTATTAAATTTTATTGGATAAATTATAAGCGTTAATGAAGATATTGTACTTAGCAGCATTTAAATACAATCACATAACAGTTTTAAATAACATATGAGAAACTTTTAAATAACGTTTACGTAACATTTGGTTACAATTCGGTAACATTTTATATATACACAATTGCATAACATTCTATACAGTAGTTCCGTAACAATATAAAAAGATAACATAGTATAAAATAAATAATCAACTAATTGTTCATTACTTTGTGTCATGCTGTCATATCATGCTGTTTTGGCTGTATCATTATTCACCTTTCTATAAATTATTTAATTTCTTTAAGTCTGTTTTGAGCTATTAACAATTGCAAATAGCTTTTAAAAACAAAGAGCTTTTAAAACAGCTTTAATTTTTGTGAAGATTTATAGGCAAATAAAATGTTTATTTACTACTGAATGCATTTCACTAAATTTCATTTTATTGAGTAAATTAAAATAATTTTATTCATTATTAGGATTTAATAATAAAACTGAAATTTAATCAAAATCTATATATTACAAATGATTTAATGAACTATGGTTAAAAATCAGTACTCGATAATAATGTAATTTTTGCAACTTTACAAAAGTATCATACTTAGGGATCAAAGTTTTAGCTGAAGTCAGAAGCAAGCTAAATGATTGTTAAATTATTCAGTAATTAAAGTTACTAAGTAATTATAAAATTTCTTAGTGACTAAATGCAGTTTTATCATTCAGTATGGAAAATAACTTTGGAATCATTGACCGCCTGGTGTAGTATGAAATTTTTACTTTAATTTTTTTTTTTTTTTGCTCCCTGTAAAAATCTGAAATAATGAAAGTGGAACGAGATTTTAACTCTTTTTATTTAGCATTATTAAAAGTTAATTATATAATATTGTTATAATATTGTTTACATTATTAACTTACATTTTAAGTATACAGTTAGTAGTAGTAGTTACACATGGTAGCAAAAAAAAAAAATTTTATAAATTATTTCCAAGATTTCTACTTTTTAAGAAACAAAATTTATCATAGAAGTAAAAGTTGTTATATTATTATTAAAAACAAAAAATTAACTTATGCTATTGAAGATAGTTTAATAAAATCTATATCTTTCTAAAAAAATTAGCACAAAGAAATCAGATAAAAATATGTAGTGACATTAATTTGGAAATGTTGTCAGTTTTTCTACAAAAATTTACTGAGAATGCATAGGTTCTTGTTTGATCAATTTTAAATTGAAAAATGAGAGGGTAAAAAATACAAAAATATTTTCAATTACTATTAGGATTTCAACCTTCAGCAATGTTGACCTAAAATTGTCAACTTAAAAGTATTTGAGGTCGGCAAAAAATTGCCAACTTCATTTCTATGTTTTATGATAATCCCATTGTGTCAAGTTTTTTTTTACCGACCTGATGCCAACCTCCAACAGTATTGACCAGACTGTTAGAGGTTGCACTACCTTCCATAACATAAGCTGTTTTTTTTTTTTACAAAACATTTAATTTTATTAAATTTAAATTTATTGCTGACCTTTTTTTTTATTTTTCCTTATTTTAATGGCTGGGATTTTATTGTACTTTTAGTAATTACCAGGTTCACCTACTTTTAAAAGACCTATTTTTCCAAGACATTAGAGACCCATTAAATAATAAATGGTCTAGCAACATAATAAATAACAAACAACAAATAAATTTTTTAAACTCAGTGTTATTTCATTATATAAAACACATTTAGGGGGTCCCAGTACACAATTTTATAAAATGTTGTTTACCAGAGAACTAAATTTTGTTATGGGCAACTAAAATTAATCCTTTGAAGCAAATATATCGCCCGGAAGGGCAACCATTGATTTTTATCAGCAGTTCTAGTTTTTTTTTTTAATTTTTATTTATTTAAGAATTCTATAAAAAGAAAATAAACTATAAAAAGAAAATTTAAGATAATAATAAAACTATATTTTTATAAGTCACAGTGTCAAAGTTTGTTTTCTGCATAAGTCACATAACTATATTTTTATAAGTCACAGTGTCAAAGAAAAACAAATTTAATAAAATACTTCCTAGATGAAAACCAAAAAGTATTATCGTTTAAACAAAAATACTATTTTATTTTGATTTTTTGGCCTATTTTAATTAAAGATTTAGAGATAAAGTAATGGAGTAAAATTTGAACGCTTTTGACGTAAATGTCAAAAGCATTCAGTTTAAGCAAAAAGTTTTTTGTAAAATATTAAAGTCGAAAGCGTTTCTGTTAATCCAAATTTTTTTTTGTTTGGAATATTTAAATTATTGTTTAACATTATGTATTTGACGTTTATTCAGAAAATATAAGGTCATAAAAAAAAGCATTTAAGCACAACTATAAATTTTTTAAAGAAACAAAATGTTTTATAAAAATAAAAATTAATTTTAAAAGGTTTTAAATTAAATATGATTTAAAATTTTAAATTTAGTTTTGAATTAATGTAAAATAGTAAAACGTTAAATAAAAAATTTAATTTCAAATGAATCTAAAATAGTTTTGCAATTTTTATTAAAGAAGTTTTTCTAATCGTCTGCTAACTAATTCATCAAAAATATAAGTCTCTCCATCATAGGTTATCATAGGTTTCTCCATCATAGATTATCATAGGTCTCTCCATCATAGACTATCATAGGTCTCTCCATCATAGACTATCATAGGTCTCTCCATCATAGATTATCATAGGTCTCTCCATCATAGATTATCATAGGTCTCTCCATCATAGATTATCATAGGTCTCTCCATCATAGATTATCATAGGTCTCTCCATCATAGATTATCATAGGTCTCTCCATCATAGATTATCATAGGTCTCTCCATCATAGATTATCATAGGTCTCTCCATCATAGATTATCATAGGTCATTATAAGAAAAAGGAAAAAACTTTTTTTTTCTTATATAAAAGTTCTTTTGTTTAGATGAATTCTTTTCACAAATTAATTTTTTGCTTTTTACTACTTCAATGTAAAGTACTTTTGAGGTATTACCTTTATGAACATAAAGTACTACTTCATGTAAAGTACTTTTGAGGTATTACCTTTATGAACATAAATTATGTTTACAAATATCTTATTGGTTGATAAAATTGTTTATAATCTTTATAAAAAATACTACTTTAAATAAGTAAAAATAAAATAAATAAATTGTGATAAACAAACAAAATTAGCAAAATTAAGATTGTTTTAAGAAATAAATTATAAGAAAATATAATCTTTTTCAAATACCAAAATTTAGATTCTATTAATTATTTTTGTTAAATTAGTTTAAATAATTTTTAGTGAGGTTTAAAATTAAATTTAATTATAATGCAATACTTTAAAATACTTTCAAAATATCAATATTTTTAAGCTCCTGTAACAAATAAGATCTTAATGATAACAACACATTAAAAGCAAAGGGTTTTTAAGAACTTGTAAATTGCTTTTTTAT